AGTATCGAAACTACAGACAAACATCATGAGCAGAAGGGGAGTCGAGATTTATTGGGTCAATGACAGTGGTGAAATATGCCTTCCTGTAAACAGGTTTAGTCATTTAGCCCTTGTTTGTGATTAATTACATAACTAATCTCATGGCACAGAGGAGGAAAAAGGTCATCAACATTCGAATACTGAAATATCTAGATTTATGTTCTGTGATAATAATATTAATCTCAAGCAAGATTCATGTTAATCGTACAAGCTCCAAGATGAAAACTCAAAAACAGAACGTCGGTGGTTCTTGTCCCTCTGTAATCTAATCCAGTAAGTCAAGTTCAAATCAAAATCCGCCAACTTAGCATTAATCTCAAGCAAGATTCATGTTAATCGTACAAGCTCCAAGATGAAAACTCAAAAACAGAACGTCGGTGGTTCTTGTCCCTCTGTAATCTAATCCAGTAAGTCAAGTTCAGATCAAAATCCGCCAACTTAGCATTAATCTCAAGCAAGATTCATGTTAATCGTACAAGCTCCAAGATGAAACCTCAAAAACAGAACGTCGGTGGTTCTTATCCCTCTGTAATCTAATCCAGTAAATCACGTTCAAATCAAAATCCGCCAACTTAACATCATTCTTGATTCAAAAACTCAACAAAATATTCCAAGTCATGATGAAATGCGAAAAAGAAACAGACCCCACCATGGAAAGACCATGAAAAGAAACAATAATTTAACTGTAGCAACAGTACAGGCATATGCAACAAGGATGGACTCCATAAAACAATCAAAGAGCTTTAACCTACAAGGAGCATCGACAGACTCAAAAACTCATGGTTAAAGCTCGTAAACTCCTATACAACTCTCCAAGCGACCAATCTTCACTTCAACATGGGAGGTCTCCACCAGGAGGAGGAGGTGGTGCTTGGAAGGTTAAGAACAATGACTTGGCAGTTGATGAGATATTGAAAGAGAGAAGGGCAGCCATTGAGAGTGGCAAGTTGAAAGGGAGGAGGCTTTTTGAGGCCATGGAGAGTAGTGTGAGTGAGATGGATTTTGGAGGGATAGAGGAGATGATATGTCATAATTTGGATGGTTTAGTTCAAGAGAGTGAAGTTAGATCAGTGTTCTCTTATGCTTCTGATGATGAGACTGAAGATGTTGAAGCAAGCAATGGAGGGCTGTCTCCATTTAGTCGTCATTGTTCTTATTCATCATCATCATCATCTTCCTCTTCCTTTTCTTTTTATATTTGTGATAACGGTACTGAGAGACAGAAAGAGGAAGAAAAGGTGGTGGTGGAGGCAAGTGAACAAGAAGAAAAGAGAGTTCTGAATGGTGATCAAGAAAGATATGGGGCAAGCTGGATGGTTGCTATGGGTTGGCTTACAATTGCTTTCATGGTGTGCGCATTTGCGATCATCTCGAAGAGGAGTTTTGGTAATCATGGGGCTGGCAATGAGGTGATTGAGTTCCCAACATGATATTTTCTTTGTTTACTTTCTAGCCTGGTTCTAAACTGAGGAGGTCATTCAACTGATGTTTCCTTGATATTTTGTATGAATGTATCTGTCTTCTGATTGGAGATTTTCTTACCTTACTATCATGAATAATGCAGATATATATGAATTTTCATACTACTACAAGTACTGGTGATGATACATGTAGTCAAACAGAGGTGAATCTATGATATATGGAGCTATTACCCCAATATCTTGCTGGATGGGAACGATCTTGAACATTTAAGGGATTTTGAAGAATGAAACTTAAAATAAATAAATTTATGCCCTCCCTTTAAATCTACAGAAGAACATGAATTTAATGTCGTATCTAGAACAAAAGGTGACCTGAATTCTGAGCTCCCAGCCTTTTCCTTGGAGCCCTTAATGTGTGGGATATCTGTCTATAATATAACAGTTAAGCAATTGATGCTGAAGAATAATATGGATTCAAGTAAAATACACATAAGGTTCTAGTTGAGTGTTTTCAATCTGCTCCAACATGAATCCAATCCCAATCCCAGATTTTAAATAGATATAGGTTATCCAACCATTTGCATTTACAAATTTGACCAAAACTTCAATAATGATACTCTTTCATCCAACCTTCTTAGTATCCAATTTTGCTCCTGCTTTTGACCAAGAATTGTGAATCAGAAGAGCTAAAGTAATGAGTCTCCAGAATTGCAGAGGTAATTATATGCCAATTCTAAACATTGTATGGCTGCTCGATATAATGAATCTGCCAAATCTGTCCAGCATCATCAGAACTACTCCATAGCTAGAAGTGGCTTCCAATGTTTTCTTCTGTTGAAGATTATTTATTTTCCATCCCCAATTCAGAATTACAGTAGTCTATGTGCAATCCAAGCATTAAGGAAAAAGTTGCAGCATAATTAAAAAGGAGTGTAAGTTTGGATCTGTCTCAGGATGTCCTCAAAATTTTCAGAGGACCTCTCAGTTGGATGGTTATGCATCCCTTCATAGGTGGTCACAACAATCTCTTCATCTTTAGAATTGCGTTGGACTTGCTTCTTGACATTGCACCCAGTACTTGTACACCTGTAGTAACTTCTGCAGTCGAAATTAAATATTCAACAAACAAACTTCCCATCGGATGATGATTTTGTTTCTGTTTTATGATCTGGTCTAAATTAATTTTCAATAAGCAATGAACATATCACAAGCCTTGTCCTGTCTTCAATGAATTTAGTCACTTTTGTTCAATGTGTACTATAGATAATGTCTGAGTCAAAATGATCACAATGTTGGAGTGAATTTCTTTTTTTAAAAAAAAAACCTAGCTTTTTGGAGGGTACGAGAGCATCTGGAAAATTTTGGCAAGAAATAACACTAACCAATAAAGTTAATTCCAACTACAACAATTAATAAGGCAGGTAGGTAGTAAAAATGCACGCTCATGCTTCAATTGAAGATAGAAAATTGACAAGCTAGAGAGTTCAGAGTGTGTTTAAGTAATCATGCCACAAAAGAACCAGCAAATCTTTAGCTGATTAACAGGATACTGACCTTGGAAACTTGCTGCTCTTGACAGTCTTTTGCCCATATTTCCTCCATCTATACCCATGATCAAGTATATCAACTTGGCTTCGAGTTTGAAATGCATATCTATGCTTCCTAAAATCATCACTATCCCCTCCTCTCTTTCCTGGTTTCACCTTAAACTCAGAACCGTTACAGATTCTACTAGTCTGAGAAACACTGCTTTTAGCATCCAAATGTTGAAACCTACTTTCTGGCTTGACCCCATTTTCACTGTCACCATGAAAATAGGTTAGAGGATTTGCCATGTTAAGTGATGATGGTGAAACTGAAGGACTTGATGGGCCAGAAACAGGAAGGAATATTTGATACTTCTCCATTGGCATTAATGTTATATATGTATAAACAAGACCTGAGCTGCTACGACCACTCACATAAGTCTATACTTACTTCGAGAAGAAGAAATATACATGAAGCTATGGCAAATATAAGAAGGCAAGACCATGTAAGAAAAAGGTGGGCGGCTAATAGGCCACGTCCAATTCACTTGGCACAGCAAAAAAAATCATCTATAAAGGCTAGTGCACATTATTCATGTATGCATCCTTCATGTGTGTGTGTGTGTGTGTGGAAAGATGAGTCGTAAACGGCACGCAAAGACATGAACAGGGAGTTATAGTACAAAGACGACAGAAAAAGCTTCTCATTATTGCAGTTAAGTCACATCAGTGTTTGGATTTACGATAGTTTTGGTAAAAACGTCTTATGTTTGATGTTCGTAAGGATTAGAGAAATTCACAAGCTATTCAAACCTAACTTTCGTATTTTCTATGCTAAACCTCAACCACACATACTAATGACACTTGTGAACTCCGCACGTTCACAAATAAAAATAAATCACCCCTTATCGTGTGCAAATAGTAAGAGTATCTTTTGCGTTCTAAACAAAACCAATTTAAGGTTGCAACATCAAGTTGAATTGGTGTTTTAGGTTATGATTCTTCAAAGAAAACAGCAGACTTCACCAAATTTTCATATCTGCAAGCTACATGGAAAAGTCATGTTCCTTTGAATTGAAATGGATGATAATGATATCCCACATCATGATTTGGATAAAGGAAACAAAATGTTGCTGTTCAGTACACATCCAGCTAGCTCCGATAGGCGACTAGGTCTAGGCCGCCTCACAATAACTCATACTCACAAGGCAAGGGGAGGAGTGCATCGATCATATACATCCACTTCCATCATCATGCTTGTGCGCTCTAGAATGGCTGTTTAATGTAGGAGAGGGATTTCTTGAGAGTTCTGGCTTCTTCCTGCCTTCAAGGATAATACAGCATACGTAATTTTCAAGTTACTGCTTCAATGCCGGCCAAGCCCATCTATTATCATAAACTAGGCACCCATTTGGAATTATTGTGGCCTTAACTTTGACGAAATTAAAGGAGCAGACAATATCTTCTGAAACGCTTATAAGGAGAAGCCACCTTGAGGGTGCTGGACACCATGCGAGTTAGGCAGCACACAGCAATGGAATTATTTGCAATTTGTAATAGGGTTTGATAAGGATGGTACACTGAAGCCACATCAGCACCCCACAAACTCTAGGCCGCCACAAAACCTAACCTTTGGAATCGGGACTAGATAACTTCGCAGTTTGCACTATTGCAGCTGATGTTTCATATATAATGGCCTTTTCATCAAATCTCCCACATAAAAAAGGTACCAGAGGGCTGCAAAGGGACGTGATTCAAACAAGTTACGATATATTCTAGTTCACTTAAATTCTAATAAACCATTGAAAATCTTAAAAGATCAATGTTCCTATTTTAAACTAAATCCACAGTTGACATGTTAATTATACAGATAGGAGGTAAAAGATTAACAACGTTTACAATATCTCATTAGTTGATCAAAAAGCAGATAAGATTTGGACTCGAATTCACTAGATTGATAGTCCAGTCCAGAAAACCTGAGAAAAAAGCTGCATCCAAAATTCAAGATCATATATAAAATAATGACAATCCTTTCTTATATTTAGATCACAAATCTTTTGTATCTGGATCATACAGATCCAAAGCATGACAAAAAGGAAGCAGAGCATAATGGTATAGGGTAAAGGAAATCACATCCAACTAGAACAGTCAAAGAAATGAAGTTCTCTCTTAAATTAAATGAAATGCTGTCTCTTAAGGCTGAAGAGAGAACTCAGCTTTTCTCAACGCCAATGACGGGAGCTGCAGCTTCTTGTGCCGGTGAGTTGTGCTCGTCCCAGGCTTCAATCCATGTAACCATGGCATCACCAAGTTTTTGAAAGCAGGGATCAACAGGACCAAGATTTTCCTTGACCAGTTTCGAAAGCTCATGGTAGCATTGCTGCACGGTTCTGCACTCTTTTGGCAGGACAACAGATTGGAAGAATGGGAAGATGTCTTCCTGCCAGTATACGCCCTTGTATTCCTTCTGCAAATTCACAAATGAAATGCTTGCCTTGCTATGCCAAATGTATGGCAGGCCCTGTCTTCACCCCAAGATTCAGATGATCACAGATTACTTGAAATCCACATCGAACAGGACATTGAAAAGGGTCCTTGTATGCCCATCATTTGAAGCATCAAGGTACCCAGCTAATCTTAGCTCCTACCTCCTGAGACACTAATTTAGATATAAATATCAAGGTCTATATAAATTAAAAGAAGCAGAAATCGCATTATCAATCACATTTCACGAGATCAATAAATCAGCAACGAAATAATGTCAGCCGGAAGAATTATCTTTTCACCATTCAAATCCAATAAGTAATTAGGTAGCAGAACAGATCAAAACTAACCGAGAGAAGGATTACCTTGGCACACCAGCCAGCCCACACATCATCATATCTCCCAATGGGTTGACCATCAGCCATGAGTCCAAAGTAGATTGGAGGGTAATTTTGAGAGGTGTAATTGCTCAGTACGAATTTTTTTTCAGTCTTATAAATCTTAAAATCATTAAAAGATTATATTATCATTAATTTCAAAATCATTAAAAGCTTATATTATCATTAATTTTAAAATTTATAAAATTAATTAAGATACAGACAACCTAAACTACACACACCGTACTAATCTAAAAAAAATAGATTGCAGGGCCAATCAATTCCCTGTCAAAGGCAAGGTTGATTCCACACGTTAGGAATAGGGTGCCTTTTGGGATTGTCAAAACAGCATCCACATACCTGTGTGAAATAAAATTAACATTCAATTAGACAAATATTAAGCCAAAAGCACACACTTCTTTCCTTAGAGATTTTGAATAAAAACGAAACTATGCAGACAAGGTTGAATTCAATCAACACTCAAGACAAAATCACTGCCAAGACCAAGAATCAGTAACCAATGTGCAATTGATGTTAGGTGCCTACTGATTCTAAGAATAGATGGTGCCTACTGATTCTTTCCTTGATTAAACCTGGTGTTACGTTCAAGAGGCTTGACAAGCTCAGTTGCAGCATTACGATCAGGAATGTTAAGCCAAAGTCCATGAGATATAGCAGCAGGCACACCTCCTCTCAAGCTAAAAGGATATCCTCTCACAAAATCAACACCTTCTCTGAGCAGATCATAAAGGGTGATGAAGAACAATGGCGTAGATGGTGTAAGCAAATTCTGCACATGCTGAGCCAATGCATTGATCTCCTTCCCACTTGATCCTTAGCCATCTTCACCACATCAAAAACTCAAGAAAATCTCAACGTGGCCCCCTCTCGGTCCAACCCCACGTTTACTTATCATAGAAGCACAGTTTTGAATCGCAGTATAAAAATTTAAATTTCTTTTATTTATTTTTTTACATTTTTTCCAATCATTTTTTTGAAGGATTTTTTTCATTTTTTCCAATCATTTTTTTGAAGGATAATTTTTCAAAAATAAAAAATACTATTTTAATAAATTTTTAAATAATTTTTTTTAAAAAAACAATTACTACAAATCTCTCTCCCTACTCTCTAAAATGGCGGAAAAAAAATGTTATACAGAAAGAAGAACTTACAAAACAATCATCATCAATGGTGAAGATATACTTCCTCTTGGAAATCAAGAAAACAAAGCAACAACAAGCAGAATCCTTAAGGGAGATACAGTTAGCTTTAGGACCAAGAACCCGATTCACACCATCCTTATTATAAAGCTCATAATCAAAGCCATCAGGGACCGGAATATTCTTGTTAGGATGTTAGGATCACCTTATTGGACAATCAAAGTCTACACTGCACCAAGAAATCTAAGTTTCTTATATAGTTGGGATAACAATACCAAGCTCATCTTTCAGTGGCGATGGTTGAGCCCTTCGTGACTGCGAGGGAATTCTTGAGTCTTGAGTGTCAAGGTTTGTTTTTCCAAGGGAGGGGGGAGGAGTCTGGGGCTTTGACCAAAACGAGGAAAGAGCGTTTGAGTTGAAGCGTTTTCGACAACTTTTATTTTCTTTTTTTGATGTCTTTATTTTATTTATTAGGGAATATATTTTATTATTATTTATTAGATATCTAAATCATCAAAAAATTTACTATAGATTTCTATTTCTAAATATTTTCTGGAAAGTAATTTTTTTAAATAAATAAATTTTAAAAACATAAATTCTAAAAAAATAAATTATTTTCTAATATTTAGTTATATAATAAAAAATAAGTTGGAAAATATTTTACAATATTTGCTTATATTATGGAAAATGAGCTGGAAAACAACTTATTAATGTTTTATTTTTCTCAAATTTATTAAAATAATAAAAAATAAATCTTACAAATTAAAAAGTTAAATGAGAATGAAATTGAAAAAAAATATAATTTCATAAATTATCTCACATAAAATAAATAATAGAGATCAAATAAAAAAATAAAAGATGAAAAAATTAAAATAATAATAATTAACATTTCATAAATTATTTCAAATAAAATAAATAACAATAAAAAGAATGAGAACCAAATTTAATAAATAAAATTTTTTCATAAAAAAATAATAAGAAAAAAGTAAATAACAATTATGAAAATAAGAATCAAAATTAATATAAAAATTAAATTTTAAGCAATGAAATTAAAAAATAAATATTTAAAATAAATAAATATATATATATATATATATAGCAATAAAAAATTTGAGAATAAAATTTGATATAATTAGTAAATAATATGACATTTCTAATTTTTTTATAATTTTTAAAAAATATTTTTTGTCTAAATTTTTTAGAAAAATACTTTCTTGGAAATCAAGCCAAATTTTCTTTTAACTGGAAAGTAATTTCTGTTGACCAACTTTTTTAATAACAAATAAATATAAAAATAATTTTAAAAATAATTTTTTTAAAATTAAATTTTAAAAAACAAATACATCCTTAATCTCTTGACCTGAAGTAGACTTGTAAAAAATAGCACAGGGTTCTTCCTAATAAATAAATTGTTGGGAATACATTATTTTAATATAAGGATATTTTAGGTTTGTTATAGCTCTCGAAAATATATAGTTTTATATATTCTTATATATTAGGAGTTATGTTAAATCTATTTTTTTTAATTGCATCCAATCCATTCATAAGAAGCTGTTATTATCTCTAATCGATCATTCTTTTTTATATTTTCTTTCATGTGAAGTGTGGTTCCATTAGTTATATGATTAAGATGTAAAACAAAATCTTGATATTGGTAAAACAAAATCTTGATATTGCATCGATATTGTTGTATGATTCATGATCATAATTCTAAACTTCATATTTGTTTTTAACATGCATACAAGTTACTGTTTTATTTTATGTTAAAAAAGTTGAAACATTTAGAAATAAAAATAATGGATCTTGTTTCTTCTAAAAGGATATAAATTTATTTTAAAATTGTATGATAAACAAGTTTATTTTTACATTCAATAAAAAAAATATTTATATCTTTTATGTGTGCGTATTACTAGAATACTAATTACAAAAATTATAAAGTGCGTATTACTAGAATACTAATTACAAAAATTATAAAGTGCGTATTACTAGAATACTAATTACAAAAATTATAAAAGTGAAATATATGCTTCATGTTTAACATTGTGTTTCAGAAATATTTTTTTTAAATTATTTATTTTTTTTAAATTAATATTTTTTAAATATTTTCAGATATTTTAATATTAAAAATAATTTTAAAATATTTTAATATAAAAAACAATTATTATCGAACTATTGAACATCATGTACTTTCAAATAACGTAATTGAAACTAAAAGGCGGCTATCAATGGAACGTTTTGGTTTGTGCCGCTTCAAGTTTTCAAGGTGAGGATAAAAAAAAAAAACTAATTAAACTAAAAAAATTGAAAAAAAGGTTAAAATAAAAAAATCAAATTAACTAATTAAATTTTTTTAAAAAAAATTCAATTCAGTTTGATTTTAAAAAATCAAAACTACTTAAACCAGACCAAAAACTATTTCAACTAACATTAAATCCTACGATAAAAATCGAACATATAAAATTAAACCACTCCTTAGTTGCTCCTCTCTCTTTGCTCTTTCATTCTCTCTCGATCTCCACCCGATGACAGCAGCAAGATGATGCCTTTGGACTGTTAATTCCTGAGGGACAAATGATAGTTATTATCAAAGCATTTTGTTTGTTTTTGTATTTTAAAATGTTTTTAAGAAAATTTAATAATTTTTTTATTTTTTTATTTTAAATTAATGTTTTTTAATGTTTTTAAATTTTATTTAAATACATTAATATTTAAGCTATTTCTCGACGAACTTCCGGTAGGCAGGCCTGGGGTTCTGAACAAGATAATATTTTAGCTGAAAAGATAGAGAAAAAACCACGATATGATGTTTTAAAATAACTGAACTTAATTTCAAGGCTTCTGTTTTACAGAATATGAACAATTTGTTCTAACATGCAAAATTAACGCAAACCAGAAGAACTACTACCAGGATCCTTCTCTCTTAGATCCTCGTTGCCCATGGTCAATCCATTTTATTTTTTACCAGGGAATAAATCAAATTACTAAATGATAAAGATGCATTTTATAAAGCAATAAGTAGATGTATTTCGGTAACAATTTTCTTTTTGAAACGTGATTGTCTTTTGTTAATTGTAACTCGCATCATTATCCATGATATATTAGTTAAATTATAGAACAGTAACATTAAGTTTTACATTACAGAAAATTATATATATATATATATATATGCTTAAAAATACATCATTTGAAAACACTAGAGTTGTAATGCCTCCAAGTAACTATAGAAATTGTCATTCTTTTGGGGTTTTTTTTTTTAATTTCTTGCGATCATGGAGGGGATGCAGCTTGATATAAAAATGGTAGAAACTCATCTTTTAACAGCTTAATTCTAAGCTTAATTCATGGAAGATGCCAAGAACGTCACCAATGAGAGCCCGAAAATCCCTATGATTGAAGATGGAGTATGCTTAAGAAATGGGCTAAACTCAAATATAAGTGGAATACACGCAGTCAAACCCAACACATAATACGAGGCTCGAAGGCAGTAGGGGGGAGCTCATAGTATACTTCTTTTCCATGAATACACGAATACTTCCTTTTCATGCTACAAAATGAGTGTAATAGAAATTAGTTGTCTAAAATTTAAATTTTTTGTACTTAGTTTTTTTAAATATTTTTAGACATTTTAATGTGTAATATTAAAATTAAATATAAAAAATAAAAAAATATCATTTTAATAAAATTTTAGATGAAAAACATTTTAAAATACAATATTTATTTGTTTATTGCATTTTTAAATTGACACTAAGTCAACTTAGAGTTTTTAAAAGAAAAAACAAATAAATATGAATTATAAAATAACCACCTCAAGTTTATAACTGTTAGGTCTCATCTGAGGGTGACCTCAAATTTATAATTATTAAGACTAATTTGAGTTTGATTCGGATCAATTAATATTTAAATAAATCATGAATTAAAAAATTAATTCTTTAATTCTAAAAGTATAGATGGGGAATATACCATTAATAATCTTTGTCAATAAATAACTTAAAAACAAAATTTTATATAAAAAGTTTTACATGGAAAATCAGTTAATATGTTAATGGAGAGTTTCTTTCATGTTTAAGTTTATTTTCAAAAGTAATTTTAAGGGCAGTGTTTGTTTTTTAAAAACAACAGTGATTTTAAAAATATTATTTTTAATATATTTTTAAATAGTTGTAATACATTAATATTAGAAATATATATTTTTTTAAAAATAATTTTAAAAAGTACACTTACAAACACAATGCATTACCAAAAAGCACAAAAGTACCATAATATCTCTTTGCTTGATTGCAGCAAAGATTCGCTAATGATGATATCATGGTGTTCGACAAACACCCTCGTTGCTCGGAAATCTTTTGAGTTAGGGCATCCTAACCCGTGAAATGATCTGAGACTGGTCCCTTTCATCATTAAACTCTATCTCACCAGCAATATATCTTCAATTTTGTGACAAATCACATTAAAAAATATCCAAAGCGAGAGAGGTAGGTCAGTGTCAGAGAATTTACTAAATTCCTTCTAGGAGTGTCCAGTTAGAATTGTATTATACTGAATTCTTTTTAATATATCAGGACAAATATGAAGATATTTTATTAAAAAAATCACTATAGGGGACTTTTTGAAAGAATGCAGCAAAAACTGTGTTTCAAAATATTGCTTCATACTTCTTTTTAATTAACTTGAATATATCATTATAATTACATGTTACATATTTTAAAATTAATAATTATATAAATTTTTAATTATTAAGAATTTTTTAATTTATAAATTTAAATTAATAATATTTAAAAAACAGATTTAAAACACAACCGGTTAAACTTCTAAAACTAAAAACTTTTAAAATTAAATATTACATTATGCTTGAACAATAATAGCGAGTACCAAACAGTTCCTAAATTATTGCTACCTCTATTATTGGAACCTAATTGGACCATATCTAAGCAATAATATTGTTTTTTCTTCTGTTTTTTTTCCACTTCCGTCACTATATGCCATCTGAAGAATATTATAGTGCTAGAAATTAAAGGTTTCCAACATGCAGAAGTAACAATATCTCCCAAAATGAACTAAGAGCAAAACATATGTTCCTTACATGCCAGGACTCCAAAGATTACTCCATAAACGAGAGTTCAGTAAACCCATTACGTCCAGTAAAACCTTCATAGCCAACCCCTTGTGGTTGTTATCATTGTAGCCTGAAGGATGCCCTATCACCACCTCCATTTCCAGGTTCCTGGCCACCTCCTGACCCACCATCTCCTCTTCGAAGACAACCCCATTTCCCTCGATCTCTCCACTTTCAAGATTTTCTTGCATTATCATCACTTCGCATACAGTTTTAGGCACTGCTATTTCAGGTATATTAAACAAAACATTATCAGATTCAAAATGGCCCATCATCAAGACCTTACCTTTCTTCTTGCCTCTGCTGTTCTTTGAGGACTCAATTTTTTGCACCAAATGCTCTTCAAATGGTTCAATAACTTGGTGGATGAAATCCCTATTTGGAGATGAGTCCCATCTATACCAAAACCTAGTGTAGCAATCAAAACACCCACATTGAAAAGAAGGAACTTTCTGGTCACAATATTTGTCATTCTTGCTGGCAGTACTCTTGGTTTTACATTTCTTTTTTGGATGCTGGGTTATAAGTGAAGATGGGTTTGGTGCGGTGGTGACAAAGATGGACCTTGCTATCAAATAAGCTAGAACTTCACGGTCCTGGTTAGGAAGAGAGAGGGCTAAAGCTAGAATAGTTACTGGTAGAAGCTTTAACACCGAGTCAGGATCTTTATATGAAAATCTTGATGATGATGCTGAAGGTTGGGATGGGTACGCTTTGCCTTTTCTCTCAACCTTCATTTTCTTGGTTAGCATCAACACCGCTCGTTTCTCCTTTCCCTTGTCGATCTGTTGTGGAAAGATTCTTAATTAATAAATGTCAAGAAGGGTTTTTCTTTGTTTATTTTCTCGAGTCCCAAGAGAGGGAAGATAGGAATGGGACCGAGAGGTGTTGTTCTTATCATTAACGAGAGGTCATTTATAAGTTGAGAGAGAAAGAAGGAGAGAGAGTCTGCATTTTGTTTTGTTCCTTGGGAAATTTTTAGGGCTTTGGCAGGTAACAAAAACATAGCAAACAAAGCCTTTACTTTATGGGTTGAACCAGCAGACAGGCTATTTCATGTACGTGTGAGCTGATTGGTTTCATTAAAGTGATTTTTTCTTAAATATTTTCTTAATTTTAAAATTTTAATTTTTATATTAATATATCAAAATAATATAAAAAATATTAATTTGAAATAAAAAATTAAAACTTTTGCAAAAACTCTTTCAAATGTAAAATTAAATTTGGCGTACATCTCTCTTGTGAAATGCTATGTTTTTTCACTGTGATTGCGTTTGAGATTGTTAGATGTTTTTTTTTTTTGATTTTTTTTATATTTATGTGGGGTGTCCGGGCCAGCTTGCGCGCACCACGACTAATTCCCACGGCCCACTGAATACCCTGCAAACTTAGCAGACATGTAAGGCACCACGGGGGTGACAGGCGTGCACGCCAGGACTCGAACCCATGTGCAGTGGAAGGAGACAAACCCCTTGGTTAGAGGTTTTTTTATTGTATCTAAGGTGGTATGTGTTGGTAAAATTTTTTAGATTTAATTATAAAATTATAATTAATATTTAGAAATCGCTACTTAGTATTATAATCACTAAGAATATATGATCTACAAGAGTTTGAGTAAAAGACTGGTTGTACAAGAGGAAGATGCATCACTCTCAATACACTATCCAAGGTAAGCTGTATTGTTATTTAATTATTTTTTTTTAAATCGAGTATCTATTGGTCTTTTCTAAGGCTCAAGAAAGATTTATTTTCATGAGAAAGTCTCTATTTTATTGGATTAAATCTCAACCATTCTAAAGTCTAAATTTTAGCATTGCATTTATTTACATCTTGTATCTTTAATATGTGAGGGTGTACTTTATCGTGTAATTTTACACCCCATAAAGATTAAAGTCTACATCTGGATTAAAACAAAAATTAAAAAAAGATTTTTTTGATATGTTGGTCAAATTCTAAAGGATAATAATAAACTGGTTACGATATCTATTTTTGAATTTTTTTTACATGAAAAAGATGCAATTCTTGTTTTTTTATGAAAAATATGATTGGAAAAATTTCAGGATTTGGCCGGATACAACAAAATATTTTTTTTCTTTTTTAAAAAATGGAAATTGATTTAAAAGTTTTTTGAGATTTTTTTTGAAATATTTTTGAAGAAACTAGTATTTTAATGTTGGATTTATATTTTACAGTGTAAATATATAACCCGATGTTATGCAAAATTGGTAGAAAAATATACGAGAAAATCATAATTTTTTTAAAGGATTTTTTATTTTATTTATTTTTTATTACTATTTTTTTGGTCCACTGTTCAAAATAGTGAAACTCTCACGGGAAAACGAAGGCCAAGCAAGGGAGGCGGATCACCTGGCGTGCTGGTGATGGCAGGCTAGCTAGCGAGGACAACCTGAAGTTGGTGGTGGAAATGGCGGTGGAGTTGGCTAGAGCGGCTGTAGCTGGAAGAGAAAAAAGAACAAGTTGTAAAGGAGAGAGAAACGTTGGAAAGAGAAGAGGGAGAGAATCTTGGTGGCTGCTTGGTGGTCGGTTGGTGGTAGAAAAGGTGAGGGGCTGACGTGAGGACAGCTGCTCAGGCTGTGATAGGGATGGTGGCAGGCAAAGGAAGAAAGAAGAAGAAGAAAACCTGCAGTGAGGATAAGAAAAGGAAAGAGAGAAGAGAGATAGTCATGGTGGCTGCTTTGCCACTAGAGAGGAATTGGGTTGATGGAAATGATAGTGATAAAGCCGGTGATGGTGGTGGCTGAAGCCCATGATAGAGAGAGAAAGAAAGAAGAAAATTTGCAGAAACCAGTAGAAAAACTGGTTTTTTGGCTGAATTTGGACCCGAATTTATCCTCCCTCAGGCCATGAAATCCACCTCTATTTATAGGCGGTGGAAGAGAGCAATCTTGTCTACACTAGAGAAAAAAAATCAGTCCTTGATTCAGTTGAGAAGGATATTAACCGTTGACTCAAAGTAGGTATCATAAGTTGCAAATCTACACACAAAAACGAACTGAGTTGGTCTGTTAAGGCTGTCACCAGAGATAATTTACTGTCATTTAGCTTAAATTGATCATATAGTGTTGTAGAAAAAGTGTAGAGGATCATTTTCGTATAAGATTTGTCAAATTTGGTGGACGTTAGGTATATAAAATGTTGCGGCAAAATGGGTAACTGGATCATATTTTTCAGAGAAAAAATTGAAAATAATGAACACTGCCGATTCCTTTTTTGTCAAAGTTCATTTCAGTCCTTCCTCTTTCAATTGCTTTCAATTGAAACCTAATTGACCCTAAAATCTTTTTATTTAATGCAATTTAGCCCTTAATTTCAATCAATTAATTTACTAAAAATTAAATTTGGTCTCTTAAAATTCCAATCTTCTTAATTAAGCCACAATTAGGCTCCCAAACTTAAGTTTTCACTAATTAAGCCCAAAATAAAATTAATTTGACCCATTTAAAATATAATTAAGTCCTTGCACTTAATTAAATCCTTCAATTGGACCCAAATTAATTCTTAAACATAAATAAAATTTAATTTGGCTCATGATTAAGTCAAATTGGCTTACTAAAAATTTAATTATGTCATTGGACTCAATTTTTATGCAAATTCGTTCAGTAATCGTTAAATTTGATATTGATTTTGAATTTTTCTCTATTTTTGGGCATAATAGGGTATAATGAGGCCTTGAATTTCTTCAAAAAAATTGTAGCTTGATTTTTTTTTTATTTTTGTAGCTCTCCTTTATCTGCTTTCTTTAAATTGTTTGTTTTTATTTTATTTTATTTTAAAAAAAATAATTTTTAAAGAATAACTTAGAATTAAATAATAAAAATAAGCCTTGAGTTCTCAGTAATCACCTTGTATGATATTTAATGATAATTAAGATGTGCTTGGCTATGGCAAGCATCCCTCTTCTACACGCATCTGTTTCCGGCGGCCATCAGATCGAAATGCGATGAATGCATCTTCGAAAACTGAATGTTAACAATGGCAAAATAAAGCATATGCATGTGAGAACCGCCTTATTTGAGCCAGTGACATTGGAAGGACCATTTTAGAACTTCAAACTCACCACAACTTTTTTTAACAACAATAGAATGAAATATAGCGTTACAAAATCCTGAAAAAGTAAAAACAATTGGGTTGAAAGCCTGAAACTATACAATTCACTCGTGGCTCTTCCTTGCCTAGAATTCATCATGAGCTTGCTTTCTTGGTTAGTCCTCTTGTTTTCCAAACCTTATTTTAAACCCAACTATTTTTAGGATGATATATAAAAAAGTCCTTTCCTTTCTAGGCCCTACTACATGGATATCATCCTCAATCGGGCTTCGTTACCAAGCTAATGTTAGACACCTGAGGCTGCCATTGAATAGGTTTATTGTAAGCGCAATGCAAAGCATGCTAAATTATGTTTTCATTTAGTTTTCTTCTTAATTTCAACAAAATCGCATTCTTCCTAAATTATGGAGCAGGATGTGTCTTCCACTACGTGGCCCATCAACCCTAAGGTACCATGCCACAATCCACTCTCCTTGTCCCAGTAGATTCTTTGCCATTGGTGGTCATACAGGCAATTGTCACGGCTTTTATACTCTTTCTATCGTGATCAAGTTTCTTGAGACTCAGAGGCAAAGAGAGGGCGCTTGTGTTCATGGGGCTCAAAAAATAAAGTTGAAATAACTATTTGATGATTATTTTGGTCGATGCCCGCTAAGATATTGCTGCATGTTAAAGTGGGTCCAGAATGGGATCCACAAGACATCATCACCACATGCATTGCCCATCAAATAATTTTACCTTTATATAGTAAGCTTTAGTTGGACATGATTGGCTCTTGATATCTCCTTTAGAGTCATTCTTTGAGCACGATATGATAAAAATTGGATGGCTTTGCTCCAACTTGTTTTATGCATCGACTCCAAGGCTTTGTTTGTTCGTGAGTCAGTGGAAACTGTAGACAAAGCAGACGTGATTGAAATCAGACAAGCATATGTAGGGCATCCATGGTAATGTCTCTTTCTATGTTATTAAAGATGAAAGAGTAAAAAAAAACTTCACATGGAAATTATGCTTTTCATTGTTTGTTGTCAAACTTGGATAAGATGTGTGAACCAGGTTGAGTTTGTGTTTAAGAGTTTATGAAAAAGTAAATCTCTCATGGAATGAGAGAGTGTTGGATGATTAAATTAGTATTTGTATGTAAAAAATGATAATGTATAAAAAAAATAAGAGGATTTAGCATGTACACCTTGATATAGCTTGCTCTGAAGATTCTGTGTAGGTTAAGAGTTTACATGGGTTTAGAGTTTGTGACATTCTTGTTACTAGATTTAATACTTTTATTAATAAAAACTTTTATTGGTATTTAAACTAGTAGTTTATTAGTACATGTATTACCGATAGATTCACGGATGGAAATAGTTCATCAAAAAAACTCTTGTTAATAATTTATGGTTGTCAGTGAGCGCATTGGTAATAAATATACCAATGAATTTATAGATGGATAAAGTGTACTAATAATTTTTTTCTATTTTATTATGTTGGTATATTCATCGGATAATATAACATATCACCGATATAATACCATTTATAATTTTATCGATACATTAACAGTAGCACTAATATTTATAATAATTCTTTTTCAACTCTCTTGAATATGTATAATAACAATGTCATTGAGAAATGAATAGTTTCTATAGTCTTTTTAATAAACTGATGGATACATACCGTCGATATACCCTTATGTAATGAACATAATGAACATTGCCATGGTGAAGAGGCACAACTCCTATTGTTTTTGAAATATATCGACGAACACATTTCATTGGCATACATGTATGTAATAAACACCTTGAATAATGTCATTGTGAATTTCAATTCCTATAGTATCTGGAATCTATCGATAGATACATTCCATTTGTATATCTGTATGTAATTTACAGTCTATCTACATTTCCATCGGTGTAAAATAGTGTATGATGTCAATTTGTATCTGTACTCTCTATTTATACATCCTGCAATTATATAAATTCATAGTTGCGCACACAACACAATAACATCAATTCACATCATAATAATAAAATAAATATTTCATTCTCATTCAATAATAAACTAACAACATTGTATTGCATATAAGTGAATTTCATCTATAAATATTACATTATAGTTTATGACGTTAAACATTTATGTTGTGCAAATTAATCAAATTATCTTTTTTTTTGTCAATTGACTCATTCTTATCTCCATCAAAATCTTGTACATTGATGTTATTATTATCATCTTCATCAATTTGTATATGTCCGCTGGAACTCAAAACATCACTCAACTCCCAGCATCAACATTAATAAAAATATTCTCGGCGATGTGAAAATTTGATTTTTCATTGAAGTCATTAGACGGGGACAACTCAATATGTATCAATAAACTCATAAAGTTAAAAGATATTATCTCCCACAATTAATTCATCATTGTCATCCTAAACAACTTCGATAAGACCACTGAGTTTGGTTTTCACTATAGATAACTAATTAGCTCTTAAACGATCCTTTTTAAAGGAATGATTGTATGTGTAATAAACTTACTGGTGTTGTTCAGTGAAAACAAAAACATTATTGATGTTGTGGACTTTAGTGTTTGAATTAATTTCAACCAAAGCATGATGGAGATCTATTTTGATTCATCTTAATATTGTCATATCAATAGCATTTGTATAAAAATACTCTATTAGGCTAGCTATGCTAATGCAATTTAATGACCTCTTCCAACTTTCCATTGTAATCAATTTCAAACTCATTAAAAATCGATTCCTTAACACAAACCCCACTATTGTATGTCTTTCTCACTGTTTATATTTTTTAGTATGAAATACATGTTCATTGATCAAATACTTATTCTAGCACTTAACCTTTCATTTGGTATTGGTAGTAGTTGTAGTTTAAAGTGTTTTTTGTTTAAAAATGCATCAAAATGTTGTTTTTTATTTTTTAAAAAATTATTTTTGATATCAGCGTATCAAAACTATCCAAAAACACTAACAAAATTTAATTTTAAGCAAAAAAATCAATTTTTTTAGGAACGCAGGTTGGGCCGTGTTCTCAAACATGCTCTTAGTAAAGACAAAGTTGCACTAACATTCCCTCCCGATTGATAAATCTGATACATGAAGTACAAGTATGAATAATTAACAAGAACTATGTGAAATTAAACATCCCAAGAGATAAGAATAATTAAATAGTATTTTATATATTTTGAACCACGTGGAGAATTATTCTTCTTATAATCGAAAGATTTAGGATTCAGTTAACTATAAGGTTTGTGAGAATAAATATTGACGATGTTATCAACAAGAAATTCAATAGTGTATCAGTTTATGATGTTATAAGAAATAAACTGTTTGAAAATAATAACATGTTAAGTAGTATACTTATTGAATAAAAGGTCTTAGTTCATTGCAATTAAATAACACATAATTATATGATTGTCTAAACGTATTTCTAATAAATATATTCCCCTTATAATATTTTTTGGTACAAGTCATCTAGGATGAGAGAATATTGACAAGTTCCCACTCGAAGCCACTTCCCCACCATTGTCATACCTTGGAATGCAGTTGATTCTTGTTCTCAATCGAGACTCAACATAGTATGAGATAAATATTGAGATTTACTCAGTAATATGGGTCTCGCATATTGAAGCCTTAACATGTCTTGTTTTTTACTTTTCTCTTAAGGTTGAACAAGCACATACATGTAATTAAATGAATGTTTTGAAATATGCAAAGAAAGACAATAAAATTTTAATTACAATGTATATGTAAACCGTAACATCTCGAATGTATACATTCATCTATATTGGATTGAACTTCCAACTTTTACCTTAAATGATAAATATATGGGTGGATGCTCCATCAAATCAGAAAAATAATGGGGGGAATATCATCTCAAGTTTGCGTATTGTTTGGATGATATTTGTTTCAAGCCTTTATATGTTGTGTTTGCAACTTGTTGGAGCATATATATCTAAAAAGATGGCTTATTTCTGTGAGTGCATAGCATACCCTCTTTGGCAATAAATCATGATAAGCTAATGGAATGAGTGTTTGCATCAGCATATGATAGTCATGACTTTTAATTTCATACAATCTACAATCCTTCAAATTCATCAACTTTGATATATTTGAGGCATGTCCATTAGAAAAACACAGACTTTTAAGTAAATGGTCAATAAGTAATTATGCATTCTTGTTTTAAGGCAAAGCTAACTTTAGGCTTTGCAACTTGTAACCTAACATAAACAATTTCCATATTTTTACAGTGATAAAACAAAGCCATATCCATTCTCTTCCCTTTCACGTCCATAATCATGTTGAAAATGCCATAATTTTTTTTTTTATTATGTTCATGACACCATAGTTATGGTGGAAGAGATGATTTACCAATAAAAAAGCTCTAAATAAACACTTCCTTTTATTTAATTATAAGTTAAACCAAAACAAGAAAATTCTTGCTTACCAGATTGAAAACAAAACACAATGTCATAGTACTTCGACTTTGTATTATACAATTCTTCACCTGAATGAAACTGTGATGCAAGATCCTTATCAACTATACCAACAAAGAATTCATTTCTATTCTTTTTGAACTTGTGATCCATTGGCGAGAACTGTTGGTGGCAGTAAAAAAGAGGCATTTTACCGTCATTTATTAATATGAATGCCTTGTTGTTTTCTATACTTTATAGATAAGCTAATTTTCCATGTGTGTTCTAATCAGGAACCATTTCATAAACTGAAAAATCATTAATAGTCCACATCAAAGCTGTCTTCATCAGAAAATTTTGTTTTCTCGATACATCATAAGTCAAAGCCCCGGATGACTACAATTGCTTCAACTTATCAATCAATGATCAAAGATAAACATCTATATTATGACATATACTATTAAGACGGGTTATAATTGTAAATAAAATGACATATATTATTAAGACGGGTTATAATTGTAAATAAAAACATGAATTTTAGGTGTAACAAGACAAATAAAGTATTGTACCCTTTGTGAGAGCGCGATGTTGCAACGACATTTCCTGGATAGGATAAAAGGTTTTTGGTTAATAAAGAGTTGTCACCTAGTATTATAGTTATTGCAATCCCTAACTAATCTTTTTAGATATTCTATGTAAGGTACTTGTTATGTAAAATGAAGGTATTAACACCTTTAGTACACTTTCCTTGAGATAATTTGGATTATTTTTCTTTGTTAGTGGTTATTGTAGATAAATGGTGTTTCTAAATTCTATCAGCCTACTATGATGAGTTCATCACGATAAACTAACCTTGGTTTTCTAGGTCAAAACTTACTATGAAAGGTTGTAATGTGAACAATTATCATTGAAGCTTTTTTCAAGACAAGCTTGTAAGTTTTTTGCTACTGTATCATTTCAAATAATATTTTAGATAAAATTTCTTATAATGAATGAAATGTATTACTTCTAATAATATTTTGAATATTAACATCACTATACAAGTTTTTTTTTTGTCCTTATATTAAAGTGAATAATAATAAATTATTATCCCTAATAATATTTGGGATATTAATATTTTTTTAGGTTTTTTATTCTTATATTAAAAGTGAAAAATATATTTTATTGCTAAAAAT